CCCCGCAGCAACAGCAAAAACAACACTCCTACCACCCGCATCCGCTACAGCAACAGCAGCTGTCGCATTAACAACATGACAACCGTTATCAGAATCGTAGCATTATCTGCAGCATGCACACCATCTTCGGCAGCATCGCGATCAGCTTTATCAGAGTGATGATCATCACCGCCATTGTCGTGCTCAGATATTCAGCATGGAAGTACCAGTGCTGTTACCACTTGAGTTTCAATATTCCGGGACAGCCCACCTTGCAAGCAAATCACAAACTCGCAGAATATAAATCCTCCGGGATTAGGGTTGGGGGTGGTTGGGTTGGTGGGGTTCTGGGTTTATAGGATTTTGGGTGTTGTGTTTGGGTGGAGGGTGCAGCCACTGTCTAGCCTGGAGTTGTGGCTTCTGCTTTCTGCAGGTCGTGGAGAATTCGGCCAGGTTTGTGAACCTCGGTGTGGCACCGAGTCGTCCAGGAGACTCCTGGAAGGTGCTGTGCAGGTACAAGGTCGACAAAAGCTTCGTGCAACAGACGATGAAGTCAGGTCGATGAAGGTAGTGTTTGACGTTGCTTGAAGGGGGTTCCTATCAGGGGCTGTTTGTTTTTGCCTGGGCCTTAACGCCTGCTGCGACTTTGGGTGGAAGTTAGGTTGGTGGGTTGTAGACTAAATTTGCGTCATTGTTTCTCTCGGATTTCGGAGGTAAGGGCTCCGCTGTTTTCGCAGGTGAGGTTTGTGTAGACATATGGAGGCTTCCACAAGGAAAAGTGAGTTCTGCGGCATTTAGGGATAGCTTTTGACGACTAGCTTGGCCCTACCCGGTTGAAGCTGCGGCTTCTGGGCGGCTTCGAAGGTCTCAATGAAGTTAGGACGTTTTGGTTGCAAGGTGTTCGAGTCTTTTGTCGGGTCGAAAGCTGTCCAGGGCCCCGAGGCTCAGAAGAGTTGAGTTCAGACTGATGCCTTGAGGCTGGGAGATCAGTGGACGCAAGATAGAGGAGGCGGGACTGAGTTGGCTTTTTCCACCACCATCGCCAAGACCAGCATCATCATCTTCACCGTCCGAACCGTGATCATCATGAACATCATGTTTCGCTCATGCGGACGCAGAACAATAAGCATCAAGCTAAGCCGGAAAACGAACTGTTCCATGTCCAGAGACTTCGGTCTACCATCTTCACGTGTAACTGTATTTGCGAAGCGCTTCCCAAACTGGTTGCCAGATGAGGCCGCTAGGTTTAGAGTAGTTCATGCGTTTCAGCATTTCAAGCAAACCCTATAAACACCGCCCGGTAGACAGACTGTTTAGATTGCGACGCTGTAGTAGTTGACTTTTGGGTGGGCTTCGCTTAGGGCTTTGAGCCTGTACACTTTCAGGTTTTAGCAGGTTGAAAGACACTAGATTGCGACCAAAGTTCGACTGTGCCCTTGTGATGCTTTGCTCACAGCAAATGTGAACTTTCCCGAAAGAAGCCACCGATCCAGACACTGGGCATCGAGCGGGTGGAGCTCATCAATGTGGGCCCGCCAGGTTTTGGAAACTTCTCAATTGGTTTCGGGGTAATTAATTCGGAAGGCCACCAGTTTCAAAGTCTAAACTTTCTTAAAACCTTAAAATTCCAACCCGACGCCCTACGGCGCAGTGGCTTGAAACTGGGAGCTCGAATCCCGAGCCTTTGCTTATCGCAGGGATGAATTTGTGTGAGAACTGACGTGAGAGGCAAGAAATCACACCAGGAGGCCTATACTCTCTATATATATATATATATATGTATAAATACATATATATATATATATATATTATATGTGTGTGTGCGTACATAGATGTACATATGTTTGTCTAGTACATCTGTATTTGTACATATGTATGTATGTATGTATGTATGTATGTATGTATGTATGTATGTATGTATGTATGTAGTATATAATAACACCCTAAACCATCCTAAACCCCCAAAACCTTCCAGGCCGAGACGAGCGTCTTTGGGGTCGGAAGCTTGTGAGTCAAGGATCTCCAAACCACGCGGCGAGCCCCGAAGTTGTGTCCTAACATGAAGCCAATATCGGGCCCGAATACTGTTGCCAAGGGGTCCGTATGATAACATCAGAATATAAGCACTTACTTTCATAAGCTCAAGTGCACCGTAAGCTGGACCCTTGAGGGTAATGATCTAATGCCCCGACGATCCAGGAAGCCTAGAGTCCCAGCTATACCGTCAGCCGCCAGGACTTCGCTGCGCAGGGCTACGGCATCCTAACCTTGAACAGGGACAAGGCAGACGGGAGGTTACGGGTGCTCAACACTCCCAGATGAATCGAAGGATCAAGGGAGTGCTCGGGAATGCCATGTTAAGTAGCAGCGGGGCAAGAGTAGAAGAGTAGTTATGGTGGCTGCACTACTGCACACCGTACCAGCATAGCTGTGGTAGTCGTCATCTCTTCAGTCCCGCGGTCAGCGTAATAGAATTCGATATCGTCGTCGTCATCATTCTCCTCGCCATCATCGTCGTCATCGCCACATCATCATCACCACATCATCACATCGTCCTAGCCCTTATCCTGTTTTTCTTGTCTTTTTCCTTTCTTCACAAGCAGTCGCCGTCACCATCATCATCGTATTCTTCTTCTTCATCATCATCCTCCTGCTCCTCCATCATCGTCATTGTCATCCTCATCATCACTACCATCACCAATACCCGATGTATCGGCAGTCGTGTTGGCGGTGATGCGATGGTATCGTATGTACCGGTGCCCGTATTTCGGTACTGCGAAGCCCACTGCCGCGCCGACCACGACGATGACAGCCAGGTTTGTGCATGTCCAGGTTTCAGTCCCGGGTGCTGGGTTGAAGAGTTGGGGCTTGGTTCATGATCTTCGACCTGCCTTACTGCCACGATCAGAACTCGTGCCATGTTTATCACCATCCCCGGGCCACTATCATTAATTACCATCATTATGACATTATGCCGCTTGTCTCGAACTGCAACAGAAGCAGTCATGTTGTGTCAAGCCTGAAGCCCTAAACCCTAAA